CTGACGACCCGACCAGGCTACAATAGTCCAAATCTAAGAACTTATTCCAAATCACTACGGTACACTTATAATAAGACAAATACACGGTTTGGAAGATGAATTCATGATGTACTCGCTCATTATATACATTTAGCAAATTTTGAACGCCGAAAAAGCTGCATAGTGCTGCTTTAAAGCTGCAGGCGGTAAGTTTTGCCTCTGTCGCCATCTCTGTTTGAAAACCTGCAATTGCAGCTGTGTCTGGAATTATCTTCCTTGCGTGGGTTGTGCGGCGGCGGCACGGCTCTAGCGTGGATGACTCTAATGTTGTAAGGAGTATGTGTGGCAGTCAGTCACTGCACAGGTGTGGATATTGTACTTTGCACTCACAGATTCTAGACTACGTCTTGGAATATATGACTCAAATAAGCATTTTCACCGGATATTGTCATGTGAACAAGTAAGAAGTCTGCCACATTTGTTCTGACCAACTGAGGAAAAAAGCATTACCATAAATCTTGCTACCAATGGTGATTAAATCTAAAGATCGGTTAGCTCATATTACATCAAACTGTTAAAATTATTAATATACTTTATTCTCAAATGATTAATGTTAACAACATCAGCATTGGTGACTATGAGTATAGTGTGTATTAGCGTGTAGATTTCAATTTCTGCACAGTCTAATCTAATTGGCATACTCTTCAAATTTCATATTAAGAAATTCTTTTAACCCGAAAAGCAAATTATGCTCCCTTCGAACTGGTTGTCTTTAAAATACAAATCTTGTGTAATCCCAGAATATCTGTAATCAGAAGCACATTTAAAACTGGAATATAATTTAATTTCATTCACATGTGCTTCATAAACACATAATCCTTTCTGGATTACAATCAGACATCAAAATGATACATTTAATTATTCCAGCTGCTGTGAGAAAAGGCTATAAACAATCCGCCACCTGCAGGATCCTCACATGCGATAGCCTAGTAGCCGAGACAACTTCTTTATGTTTACAGAAGTGACGTAATGACGCAG